AATTTGTACAAGCGTAAAAAAAGCAATTGCATTTTCAATGCAAAAAAAAAAGAATTAACACTTCCGAAGTCCGAATTATATTATAAAACGCAAGCTTTATAAATTTCTTATTTTTATTTTGCAATTTCGAATTGATTTTTTTTTTATTATTATTATTATGCGTTGTTAGTTTTTTGTATCATAAAAAACAAACAATGAAAGAAGATTTCCAAAAATTTATATTTATCTTTCGTTAGTTTTTCACAATACAAATATTGGTATGAAAAAAAAAGAAAAGCAGTGCGACTAAGAGAATAGAAAAAGCTGCAGCCATGGAGAAAATCACAAAATACCCCAAAGTAACACATTTTTTGAAACCAGCAGTTTAGCCTGGAAGTGTTTCGACACCAACAGAAACTACAAATAGTTTTGATTGTCATTATTTGAATACTAGAGTCAGTTAGGTTGATATGTGAGTCTACATCAATATCATTCATGGCATAACAATTCCGCCTATTTTTCTAAGTGATAATCCTTCTGAGTTGGCTGATGATGTTTCTGACGCACAGAGGTGTAAGATTGTTAAACGTGGTTTTAAAAAGATTGAAATTGATTTTCCAGACAATTTAGAAAGAAGATAATTTTCACTGAATTATTATAACAGCAAGGTGAAATCTTTGAACGGACATGGCTCGTATATTCTTTGAATAGCAATAACGTGGTTTGTTTTTGTTGCAAAATTTTTGGGATAACTTCTTCACCAATCCGACAAGTAATGAACACTTGGGAAGGCTTATCAAAGAAACTTAAAGAACATGAAACATGATGTGCACATTTTAAGTACTTTGAACACTGGATGACTTAACAAAAAGGTTAACTCATGTTTCTTTACTTTATTTATTTGTTACTTTTTTTTCCTAATTAATTTTTTTCCCTCAATTTCGGTAATGCAGGCATTGCAAATCAAGCTACCATAGACGAGCAACAACAAAAGTTGCTCGTCTATGCAGTGTAGTGTTAGAAAAGATACTGGACATTACCTTGTTTCTTTCTGCAAGAAATCTTGAATTCCGTGGTTCAGACACAGCCATTGGTTCAAAGAGCAATGGAAACTTTCTTGGGGTGTTTGAATTACTGGCTAAGTGCAATACCGTTCTCAATGGGCTTATGCAAAGAATTTAGGACAAAGAAACCAAGGAGCACTGTTTGAGCAATGACACACAGAATGAGGTTTGAGGAAGAAATTGAATCCAAAAACCTGTCTAAGGTAAAAAAAGCAAATAAGTATTCTATTATTTTAGATTGTACGCCATGCATTTTGCATAAAGAACAAATGAGCATTGGTCATCTATCAGTGCAGTTTTGTTTTTAGGTGTTCTTTCAAGGTTATATACACTCTTTTCATTTTCTCCTCCTCGATGGGAAATTTTAAAATTGTGCGTGGCTATTTCTGTCTAACCACAATCAGATACCAGATAGAAAAGTAGAATAAACTATGTTAAACCACTTAACTGTTATTTAAAGAAATCTTAGAGACACTCGAAAGTTTGGAAGAACATGGCTTAAAAGAGAGATTGGGCTACAGCCACAGAAGTACGATCACTCATTGAATATATTAGAACATGGCCTTTTTTATTATCAATCATTACTTGGTATGATGTTTTATTTCAAATCAACAAATCAAGTAAGGTTTTTCAGTCTTCTGCAACCTCTTTCGACATATTAGCTAGTAAAATAAAAGCAACAAATGCATTTCTTTATGAGTATTGCAAAAATGGATTTTCCGACGCACGTATTACGGCATCAGAAATCGCAGAAGTATTGGCATTGAAAAGGTTTTACCAATAGTACGTTTACAAAAAAAAAAATTAGATTTATTCATACGAGTGTGTTGATTACACTCGGCAACCTGAATATCAGTATAAAGCTTTTTTTTTTTTCCCATTAATTGATATGTCAATTGCATCAGTAAAAAAGCGTTTTGAACAGATCAGTATTGTCACAAAGCTTAATGACTTTCTTTACGAATCTGAAAGTCTTATCAAAGCCTGCGATGAAAATTCTTTGTCTATAAATTGCAAAAGTTTGCAAATAAAGCTTGGTGATATAGACTTTAAGGATTTGGAAATGGAGTTAAAACGATTTGTCATAGTTAACAAGGTGGAAAAAATGCCTCAAAAGAGAACTGCAAGAAACTTATCCCAATCTAGTTGTTGCATTACAAATCATTCTTACTTTATCAGTTACTGTTGCAAGTGTAGAACGTAGTTTTAGCAAGTTAAAACTAATTAAAACTTTTCATAGGTTAGTATGAATAACCTTGCTTCATTACACATAAAAAGGTGTAGCTATATTTCTTTGTATCTTTAAATAGGTCAAAAATGGTCGATGAACGTTTGTCTGTTTTAGCAACGCTGTCGATTGAAATCTAGGTTGCAGGAAAATTAATTTATGAAGGCATAATAAATGAGTTTGCAAGCATGAAAATAGTTGCAAACCCTTTTTTAACAGTTTGCGACGTTTTATCGACGTTTAATAGTTGCGACGTTTTATTTATATATAATATATATATATATATATATATATATATATATATATATATATATATATATATATATATATATATATATATATATATATATATATATATATATATTATATATTTATATATATATATATATATATATATATATATATATATAGTATACATACATACATACATATATATATATATATACATACATACATACATATATATATATATCGACGTATTATCTACGTAATACATAAACTGTATTTAAAAAAACTTTTTGCTAGTAAACTCTATATCAATTTAACAATTATAAAATATATTTAATTGAATTTAAGCGTTAGTTTGATTGGTTTTAGTCTTATGAACGGCAACCTTAAAACATTTCAGGTACCATGTTTTTTGAAGTAGTCTGTAAATTTTATCCACTTTTTTAGAAAGAATAAATAAAAAATTATGGCCCAAATTACTAGTTTAAGGGGGAGGGGGCAGACCTACTTGCCACGGCACTGGTACACAATGTAAAAAGACTTTTAAAAAACTTGTGTATAATGCCAATTCTTATAAATTTTCGTTAAATTATACATATTTTCATAGCAAAAAAATCTTTTAGTGTTTTCACTTTTGTTACATTAACACATTTATTAAAAGTTAAAGAACTGTTCCACGCACCAACATATGTGATAAATTAAATTTTATTTAAATTCCGAATTATTAGTACATTTGCGTCGGCGAACTCTCATCTAAATTTCAAACTAATATCAACGTTATTTCAACGTTTATTTTTCAACGTTAATTCAACGTTTGTTTTTAGTTGAAAATAAACGTTGAATCAACGTTGAAATTTTAACATTTAATTTTTAACGTTAAACTAACGTTGAAATAACGTTTAAATTTAGATCGTTATTTTTCGACCATATATCAACCATTTTGCAACGTTAAAAGAACGTTGAAATAACGTTATGTGCTTGCTGAGTTTTAATTCAGTTCGATAAGCACGCTCAATATCAACTCCAGTTAATCCTAATTTATTTTTGAAAAGCGATTGAACTTTATCTTTCGTTTTTATTCGTTCTTTATTGTTTTTGGGCAATACATCGATTCATTGTCTTCATTTAATGCATATATAAATGTTACCTGCATGTTAGTAACATTTATATAGAACAAAGCAGCAACAAGTATAGTATTACTTATAAATTGTAATTTAAAAAAAAATTACTTCTTTGTCTGACCTATCTGCATGATGTACAAAATCATTTATATTGGTAGTCAAACCTGCCTGCTGATAATGTAGTAATTTAAATGAAATGATAAAGTTAAAATGAAAAGATTTATGCGCATATATAAATGTTACCTGTATGATAGTGACATTTATATAGAACAAGGCAGAAAGAAGTATGTTGTTACTTATAAATAGTAATTTTAAAATATTAACTTCTTCTTCATCGGATAGGAAAGATGTAAAACATTTCTACTGCCAGTCAAACTTGCCTGCTTATGATGCAGTAATTTAAATAAAATGGTAAAGTTAAAATAAAAAGACTAATGTACACACTATTAAATTTATTTATATTTAATTTATACATAAAACTATACTATATGTATAAAATTTATTATATTTTTACTTTACTATTTAAAACATAATAAATATCATAAATATGTAATTTATCAAGTATAGTAATGTAAAAACATTTTAAATATTAAAGTGTGTACATAAATTAATTTATTTTTACTTAAGACGAGCACTTCACATTAATTAAATTCAAACAATTAAAAGTAATTGTTTATAATAAATAATGGTGTATTATTTATAAACATTGCTTTTGTATGCTTATATTCAACTGTAAAGTAAAATCTTGTGTATTAATTAACTTCCCTTTCTGATATTTTTAAAACATTACCGTTGTTATCTTTCTCCAAATATATTGTCGTTAGAACATCATTACAAGTTGACTCACAAAGATTACGCTTAAATCTAATCTGGTTAATTCGAACTCAATTCATCATTTTATTTAGACAGCTTTAGAACTGCTCTTAAAAATATTAAGTGAATAACTGACTGTTATAAATGATATAAATGATAAACATCATTATTTATATCGCCAGTCAAACCTGTCGGCAAATAATGAAGTAATTTAAATTAGATAATAAAGTAAAAATAAAAAGATTTATACACAAACTATTACATAATTTGCATATTCTAATAATTCTGCTATTTAATAGTAAAGAAAAAACATAATAAATATCCCTATTAGATCTAGTTGCTAACGAAATCCCATCTTGAATGGTCACGTCAACAAAAAGACTAAAACAACTTACAGAACTAAAATTCAAAAAAACGTTTATCATAAAATAAATTTTTTTTAATACTTTACTTTTTTACAATATAACTTACTTAATAATTTACCGAACATTTTTTTAACATAAATTACTCAACTAAAGTTAAATAAAAATATCAACTTTACCTAATATTTTTTTTTTTACTATTAAGGTTTATATGGCATAGGTTGTGATGCGCCCTGTTTGTATGTTGCATCTATTCAAAGTGTCTTTAGGATCCAAGTGAATCAAACAACTGGTTTATTAAATAGCACACCAGAATTATTGGCAACATCAAAAAATGCACAAATACGTTCTTTAGAAATTGACTTCAAAAATGGTTACTTGTATTGGGGAGATTTAAGCAAAAATGAAATTATTAAATTCTCACTGAATGAGAGTGTGCAACAAAAGTTATTTTATTATGCCATAGGCTATCCTATAGGTCTTGCAGTGGATTGGAGTTCAAATATCTTGTATTGGGTTGATAGTTTAATGAAGCTAATTGAGACATCAACTACAGAAGGCAAATACCGGAAGGTTTTATTCAAATTAAAAACAGAAGATGAGCCTAGAGGAATAACTCTTTATCCGCCATATGGGTCAGTATACTAGGCTTACCGTTTCTTTTATTTTAAAATTATATTTTGCTAATAAATATAAATAGTACAATCTGCATAAACTTATAACTAAATTTATGGCCAGAGCTATAGCTCTGCTATTAAATGCAGTTAAATAAATAAACAAAAATAATTGTTGACAATAATGACTTTTTACAATAATCACATTTTCCCCACGTTTTTATTTATTTATTTATCTTCTTATCTAAATTATTTATGGTATTATCTATTAACTAATCTTATTTAATTCCTAACATTTTGGTAAATTTTCTAATTTATTCTAATTAATCTAAACATCTCAGTTTTTACTATTTAATTAAAAAATTTGAAAAAAATTTAAGTTTGTAATACGGTGCTCGGCAATAAGATAGATATAAAGTCTTCTTCTATAGAAGAAGACAATCTAATTATCTTATCGCTGAGCACCGTATTACAAATTTAAATTTTTTTCAAATTTTTTTTTCCTTTTTTTTAATTAAATAGTAAAAACTGAGATGTTTAGATTAATTAGATTAAATTAGAAAATTTAATTTAGGGTTAGGGTTAGATTAGATTAAATCGTTTTATTTTAGTTTTAAACTGATTTCTTTAAACTGATTTAAAAATTTCGTAGCTTTTTTTTTAGGTTTTAAAAACAACTGAACCAAACTGAAAAAAAAAAATAAAGCAATCAAAGCTATCAAAAACTAAAACGTAAATCATTTTTTTCAAAAATTTTTTCATGATCTTTTTATCAAAACTAATTTTACCGCCTTTCGGAAAGTTTACGTGCTTTTAAGTTTTAAGTTTTAAGTTTCTACGTGCTAGATTGTTTTGTTCCCCAAGCATTTTTTTGTTTTATTAAAGTTAGAATTTTTCATAGTTTAAATGTTTTCCTTGCATTTTTAATGATTTGTTGTCTAACACCTTTAGAATAAAACAGAATTGGTATCGTTGAATGCTTAACATCTAATTATTTTTAAACAATTCGTAACATTATTTTTAAACAATTCGTATGTAATATTAAATCTGTTTTAATTTTTATCTTATTAAATGTGTGTTTACTGAAAGTTATGGATAGGTTGTGATTATATGTGTTGATGAAATTTCGTTGTTTTATGCCTATTTTGGAATTGGATTAATATTTTTGATAGATTGTTATGCGTAACGGTGGTATTTGTTACTATCGGTAAGTGATTGTTTGAATTAGAAGGTGAAGGAAGAAAAACTCGGCGACATTTGAATAAGATGTCTCATTTTATATCGATCACAACGCAGTTCTCAACTTTATTGCTCTAAAGTACGCCTTCTTGCGTTTTCATTAGATCCGAAGTACGTCTGTTGGCGTTTTTAAATATAGCTCTATATTTTGCTCAAAAACTTGAAAACAAAAGTCATTTCTGACTTTTGATTTCAAATGAGTGTTCTACAGCATTTCGGACATAGACATTTATGTATAATTAAATTTAAAAATTGCTAAGCAAAATGTAACAAAGCTATAATTAATCAAGGTATAACAACTAGTATTCTAAAAACATGAAAATGCATTTTCATGTTCTTAGTGTCAATATACTTTTAAAGCGACACGATATTCGGTTAATTTCTTAAAATATTTATTCTTAATATTGTCAAAACTCTGAGTACAGTTTTGTCAAAATTTAAAAGAAATAAAAATGTTAATTAGTATTTGTTTTAATTAATCTTTAAATATATGTATTAAGGGAAATTAAAAAAGTTAATTTTATTACCTCCATATATGTTTCCGCCGGTTTTTTTTTTTCAAAAAATGTCTATTTATTGAAAAAAAGTGTTGCATGAAATATTTCTAAAAATAAAAAAAAAATTTGAGGCTGTATAAATTTTATGATAGATGTTGTAAATTTATTTCCTTTTAGAAAAACTTTAAAATAACAATTTTTTTTTCTGTCTTATGAAAAAATACTTATACGACTATGTTATTTAACAGAAAAAAATTGAACAAATTAACAGAATCTTCTAATCAGTGGCGGATACAAAGGCGGGGGAGAGGGGCGGATAAGGAGTAAATACCACCCTCCTCCCCCATCCCGTAAGAAATGTCTAACTTCAAAATATTATTGAAAAATTTGTAAAAGAAATAATAAAATACAAAAAATTGTTCTGCAGCTAACAATTGACTTTTTTTAAATTAAAACAAAAACTAAAACTAAAGCAAAACTAAAACTGTTTCATATCATTACAAAAAAAATCTGTTGCATTTTTAACATTTTTACGATAGCGAAGAAAAAGAATGAAAGTTTCTCAACATTTTAATGTTACCATCATTAATTCATTCTATATAATTAGATAAATAATAGTAAAATTACTATCGTTAATAAAAAATAGTAAAATTACTATCGTTCTATTATAAAAAATTAATAAAACTGTTTTTAAAAACTTACGAAAAAATATAGATTTGGTTTGAATGGTTAATCTTTTTTATTAATAATTTAATTTTAATTTGTAGTATAATTTATATACGCAATGCCCAAAAGAGAAGTAGTGTCAATAACTATTTTTGTAGATAATTTACATTATTTGTGTATTATTTAGCTTCCTTAAAAGAGGTTCACATTGAAAAATTCTGTGGGCATCAAATATAATCCTGCATGCATGTTTTTGCCTACTATGAAGTTTTTTCAACTTAACATAGTTAGTACTACCCCATACAATATTGCAGTAAGAGATAAAACTATGAATAAATGAAAAGTATATTTTTTTTAGAGAAGAGGTGTTAAGATATGATTTAGTTTTATATAATATATAAATATTTCTTGATATTTTATTTTCTATATATTTTATATGTGGTTTCCATGACAAATTTTCATCTATTATTACTCCTAGAAAATTAACGATTGGTTCCCTTTTAATAAACGTTTTTATTGATTAGGAGATTGGGTAATTTTAGAGAAACATCATCACCTTTACTAGGTTTGGAAAATAAAATAACTTTCGTTTTTTCTACATTTAACGAAAGCCTATTGCTTGTAAACCAATCGTTTATTTTGAATAGTTCTTCATTAAATATATTAAAGAGAGCTTTTATATCTTTGTTGGAATAAAAAAGATTGGAGTCATCTGCAAACAATATAACATTTAAAATATTTGATGCTAAGTATAAATCATTTATATACAATCAAAATAATGATGGCCCTAAGATTGAACCTTGGGGCACACCACATGTAATATGTTTTTCTTTTTCTTTTTTATTATAAATAATACATTGTGACCTGTTCGCTAGGTAGTCTTCAAACCAAAGTAAATTTTTATTCTTTATTCCATATAGTTCTAGTTTTTTATAAGTATCTTATGGTTAACAGTGTCAAAGGCTTTCGACAGATCTATAAAAACTCCAAGGTTTAAATAGTCATTATTGAATGCACCCGATACATGATTAACTAGTTCGATTATAGCATGATTTGTTGAATTATCTTTTTGAAATCCAAATTGTTTAGTGTACAGCAAACTGTTTAACATCAAATAGTTGTAAAGTCTGTTGTACATAATTCGTTCCAATAATTTTGAGAAGCAGGGTAAAACGGAAACAGGTCTGTAGTTGTTAATATTAGTTTCGTCACCAGATTTAAAAATGGGAGTGATTATGGCAATATTAAGTTTTTTCGGCACAACACTTAACTTTAATGAAAGATCAAAAATTTGAAATAATGACGGTTCAATGATATCGAAGAATGACTTAACAACATTCACACTAATTTTGTCAATGCCCGCACTTTTATTACTTTTAAGACTGTTGAAAGCATTCCTTATTTCGCTTAGATTTAAATTAGATTCTTCCATAATAGAATTACATGATTTAATGTAAGATTCAAACTTTGTGGTACTTGACGGAATTTTACTCGCCAAGTTCGGCCCTACTTCGAAAAAAAATGAGTTGAGTTGTTTAGCTACTTTTTTTTATCGTAAATCATTTCCCCATCAATTAAAAGCTTTTGTGGAAGATTTTTTTTTTCACATTTATTTTTACAAATTATTTGTATAATTATATTTTTATATGATACCACGTTTTTTTAGTGTCGCCGTTAGTTTTTTCCAACAACTTTGTATAATGAATTTTATAATGGACAGCCCCAAACACTTATATACACTTCAAGTTGTATTTAAGATACATCTTCAAAAACTAAAAAGCTCAATTATATATTGTAGTTTGTTAAATTTATAAAAGTCTTTACTAAAAAAAGAATATACTAAAGATATTATTTTGTCTTTTGTTGCACATTAAAGACAGGGCCAGATTTACCTACAGGCAGTCAAGACTGTAGCCTGTGCACCATGATTTTAGCGAGCTCAATTTTTAAATGTATCGTGGAAATAAAATCCGTCCCTTATTAATTTTCAACGTTTGATTTTTTCAAGATATTTATAAACAAATACATTCAATATATTTATTAGCAAACTTTTCTAAAAATATTCTAAATAATTTTTTTTTTTTTTTTTTTTTTTTGCCGTTTCATATATTTACAATATAGACATATTACATTTATAAAAATTGGCCGGAGCAAGAAGAAGACAATGACTGTCTTATCGCCGAGCCCCGTTTACAAATTGCCCGTGTTTATAAACAAATATAAATAGAATATACAAAAAAACGTTAAAGAGTACATAACTTTTGTCAAATAATAAAATGACATTTATATTAAAATTTAAAAGTAAAAAAAGTTTTGTTTACTAATACAAATATATTTGATACATATAACAAAATATACTTAATGATAATGGGAGCGTTTGTTTCTATTTTAAAATTTCCTTTTTAAAAAAAATACTTAAAGTCTATTGAATTAAAATCTAATTGAAGTAAGATTCTTTTAGAAACTGCTTTAAATTTTTCTAAAGAGTAGTGTTCTTTATTAAAGTTTTTAATAAAATTTTTCCATAAAAAAGGTCCTCGATATTTAATTTGATAAGAACTTATTTTTAAGTTTATTCTCGGAACAATAAAGTTATCCTCTGAAAACTTTGTTGGATAC